CCTGCGCGCCCCCCCCCCCCCCCAAAAGCGGATAAGCAGCGGCTATCCCCAGTAGTACCTGCTCACCTTCTTAGTTGTGACCGCTATCAGCTGCTGGAATAAGCATCGGCGACCATACACCCGGATAGAGCCTCGATCCCACAGTTTACCAGAATTAGTCTTTTTCTCGTGCTTAAGCTATCTGTCGGCTTCTGTTGTCTCGCAGAAATGCTTTCAGTATGCCGGATGTGTACGTTAAGTCCTGTGTCCAGCCGTCCCACTGCAATCATTGTGCTGGCTGATGCTGCTAGACCTCGCTGTATTCTATTGCTGCTCGGTTATGTGCATACAGCCCCTAGGATGTATTCCTGGTTTTCATGGTGATAGTGATCGCTTATCGTTGGTATTGTATAGAGCTTCTGGATATATGAGAGCACTTTCGAATGCTAGCCAACTTCAAGCAGCAGTCCAGCGCATGCACGGTAATAGGCGCTCAGTATGATGTTCGATCCGATCCAACAAGCGGACGCACCCACGATACTGCATGTTGGTATGTTGTAGTTGAGGAGGGCAACACTGCATGGCGCGCTCATATTCCTCTCTGAAGCAAAAAGGATGGATGTTATCCTTCGAACTGGGAGGGGCGGGAGGGGAGCTTGTCGACCCATTCCTCCATCGTGGTGCCCCTCATCAGATCCCGGAACTTGTAGAATGTGAACGGTCTACCCCCGAGCATCCTTTTCTGCTTATCAAATTCGATCTTGTCGTGCTCAAACAGCTCAATCCTCGTCTGTTCTAGGAAATCAGGCAAATGATCACCCCAATCACAGCCAGTCTGATTTGGCCCATTGTTTGCTTTGATAACGCGATAGCTGGGAACTTCCCTGATTCCAAAAGCTCGGCTTGCTCTCCTCAGCGCTGAGCATAGTTCCTGGTCATCTAGGTCGTTTCCAGCATCACTCGCCCACTCGCGTATGGCTGCATATGTGGTGTAGGAGCCCTGGGGAATGAATGTCGCCAAGGTCAGTATGAACTTGTCCATTGGCCAAAGCTTGCTTGAGTTTGAGATCCGGGCCCGGACTTTTTGCTTCTCGGTAGACTGTACATCTTTCATGTCGGCTTCGCATTGCTTTTTGTAGGCCTCGATAGCTGAGATAGCATCTTTTCGGAAGCTCTGCAAGCGATCGTGGTTGCTGTCGAGTGGTGGTTCCTCTAGATAAGCCTTTGTGAATGGGTAGGCGTCTATTAGTTGAGGTGTAGTCCTAAGTCGCCCTAACAGGACAAGCTGGTGTGGCAGAGTAGCGAATGCTTTATCGCTAATAAATTCGATCGGCGCGAACGGATCATGAGGCTGTTGGCCGGCTGTCAAACGAGCTCTCTCCTCGTCTTCTTGATGCGAAATCAACTCCACTACCCTGGAAGTTTGCGACCAATCGAATTGGACGTTGGCGACATTGTTCGTGGGTTGATCGATGGCCATTTGGTCTTGATCTCCAAGATTGGGTGGATCGCGGTTTGGGGCATCATCCGAAGTAAGCAGATCATCAAAGCCATGTCCTTGCATCATGGTCCAACAATGCTGTTCTATCTCTAGCAACATTGCATTGCGGACGCGTTTCCTCTCTTTTTGATAAATCCTTTTTGAATCTTGTGTAGGCGCGTGATCTGATCTCGATGATAGGCAAGCGCCTTATGAACGATTTCGGTCCTCGGGAGCTGGACGAGCCTCTGAACTCGTTTGAGATTGAATTCGATTTTTATCTTGACGCGCTCTTCGCGATCGATCGTGGTCTCCCGCCTAGTCTCCTGTCTGATCTTCTTCCTGTTTGGCATGGTCGGATGATGTGTTGATGTTGTTGAACGCGACGGCTGGGAGGTGTCTAGAGCGTCCGAACGCGTGAACGCGTCGACGCGTCAGGGATGATCGACAGGGCTGTTAGCGTCAGCAAGGTATCTGACTCCGCGACCCCGCGTCGTAGCCTCTTCCTTCAACCTTTCCATGTTTGCCGCACGTCTCTTCTTTAGGATGTTTTGGATAAACTTGCAAAGCGCCGAGCGTTTCCCCGGTTGCTGGAAAGCCAGAAGTCATTCAACTCCGTCCTAAGCCATGATCCCTCGTAAGCCCTGCGCCGTCACCAACCACCCTCTATCCGATCACGCCTCTTTGCACACCAGTGTTGTGTCGCAAAGAAAGAAAAGAGATCGTTAGCTCTACTGGAACCTACTATCGCGAAAGCAGCTGACAGCGTGGGTGCTTACTGGGCATGGAATCGACTAGTACGACCCAGCTGCCAGCCTCCGTCCAGATTTCCAATTCCCATGAGCTGTGATAGATGAGCAATGGTGAAGTTTGCCGTCCCCTTAAGCCCATGTATGTACCTAAAACATTGTCGAATTTGGAGTCCGTTGATATTGGCCAAGCCGGCTTGATTATAGCCACGTAACCGCTCGGCGCTCGGGTATATAGCAGAGAATTTCATCCCAAGTTTCCTTTAGTAGTCATCCAGTTGATACACTCAATTTTATCCGATCCGGTCTCTCCAGTTCCAACAGATATTCAATACACATCTTCTTCTTCCAGTACCTAGCCATCTCCTACAATGCTGGATCACATCGGCCTCACCGTCCCAGCGTCGCGATTCGAGGAAGTCACGGCCTGGTACCTGGCCGCGCTTGCACCGCTCGGCTACAGCAAACAGATGGATTTTGGTGGGCAGGGTGTTGGCCTAGGCCCAGACAGGTTGAACACCGTTTTCTGGATTTTCGGCAAGGGCGATGCTGAAGCAGCTGCGACACACTTCGCATTTCGATGCACTGATCGAGATGCAGTTGACAAGTTCCATCAAGAGGGGGTGAAAGCCGGTGGGAAGGACAATGGGAAGCCGGGCTTGAGACCGTATCATCCAAACTACTACGCTGCCTTTGTAGTGGATCCTGTTGGGTAAGTGTCGTTGGCAGTTGTCGGTTATTGCATTCGGCTGACAGGTTTAGAAACAATGTAGAAGTCGTGGACCACGATGTGCCACAATAAGTGCAAGCAACAGGAGCATGTATGCCTCAACAGTATTGTTAGACTGCAATGAGATTGGACATCTGATAGGTGACCGATGTGAGGTCAAGCCGTCTCCATACCGCCTGCCCGTTTGACTACTGCCAAGACCCGCGTTTGTTCACAGCTCCTTCCACCCAAATCCCACTCTTGCCTTCTTAACATCATCTTCGACCTCGCGCCAAACCAGTGATGCCAGAGACAGACCGCCTCCAGGCTCTGCTTGAGTTCGCCCGTGAGGCCAATGAGATCGAGCAACATCGCGTCTCGCTCGGAACTTTCCTCGCTGGCCTTCAGCAAGAGAATGAAGACCTCGATGAGGCACAGCTGAAGCAGATTCAGGCAAGCCAACGTATGCCAAGCCACCCACCTTTGCTAACAGGTCAGCTCACCATCTACCAAACGCTCCTGGATCTTTTCAACACCAGTATGTATGACCACGCCATCTACGAGAACCTTCCTAAACGTAAATCAGACGATTCGGTCTCAAAGTCCACTCAAACCTCCGCAATGACAGCCTCATGCGCGACGCAGACCGACGCGGCGACAGACTCCCTTTGGGATCTATTGCCTAAAGCTCGCGAAGAAGCCTACCAGCGCGGCATCGATACTGGAAAAGACGACGGACACATCCAGGGAATCAAGGAAGGCCACAGCGCTGGTATGACGGAAGGCCTAGCTATCGGGCTCAAGCAGGGGCAAACGGAGGGCTTAAAGACAGGGTTAGATCAGGGCAAGGAGGTCGACATACAACGCGGCATCGAGATAGGAAGAAAACTCGGCTATGCTGATGGTCTCGCTGAGCGCCTGAGACAAACAAAGGAGAAGATGAAGAAGCTGGACGAAGAAGACACCAGCAGGCACATACCACAGGTAGAGGCGACTCGCGAGAAGATCATCGTGAAGCTACCTTCAAGGTTACCCGTAATGGTCATCAAGGAGGAGAAGGAGGAAGAGGCTAAGCCCAAGCCTAAGCCTAAGCCCATACCGATGATCAATGGTATCGACCCATTTGCGTCACTTTTGGGTCTGGCACGCAGGAAGTAAATGTGCGTTTGGAGGAGATAGGAAAGAATGTATGCAAAAGGAAGATACCCAATGGACCAGGCGAAGCACAGTCAGTATATCTTGAATTAGGCTTAAGTTAGTCTACTGCGGCTTAACATGAAACTTTGCAGACCACAACTACTCAGCAGCCAAGACTATGACCCCACAAATACCTGAGATTCAAAAGCCGATGTTTGAAGCGTTAATCCAGCGGCGCATACGCGCACATAAAGCGCATCGCAGCGGAAACTTCAATACACACGTGTCGCATGAAATGCCAGCAAATTTACGACATTCAGTAGCTACATCAGCCTGTGGCTAAATCCAATAGGCGACAGCAACATATGATATCAGCGCGTCGCTTTCGCGAACTATCAGTCACATGCTACGCACAGTCTACAGACCACTTCATTCCACGACTGTTGAGCGTTGTAGTTTCCAAAACGTATAAGAGTTATCTCAGACTCGCGCTCCCACATAGCCCACTCACTCATCTATACTAACACAACAAAAGCTCGATCAAACTCTTGCCGCAATATGTCTAACCTCATGTGGCCTGTACACGACCAGGTCCTCGAAGGAAGCTGGGAGATAGCGCGCGAGATATTATCGCGAGTCGACTCCATCCACCAGCGCCTTAATCGAAGCCTCCAGTACAGTAACGATCGCGAAGAGCGAGCCAGTATCAGAGAGAAACGGAGGACTCTTCAAACGTACGCTATCCTCTGTGAGCGGACATGGGAGCTCTACGAGTGGGCTCGCAGTGACGAAGCAAAAGCTGCGCGACCAGAACATCCTTGGGACACTGAACCAGCAGCGCAGTCGAAATATGCGGAGGCTTTGGGACTCACGAAGGATGAGCAGCCAATATCCCCGATGAGGGGCGTGATAGAGCTACATCAGAAGTTGCAGGAAGCCTTTGAAACAGGAGCGGAATTGTTCTATTGAAACACGCGCTCGAATGAATTGATATATTGGACAGTAATAAACACCGTCATATCTCCTTAACCCTCTCCATTAACCCCTCAACCATTGCATCCAGCTTCTGAACCACATCCCACGGCGCCTCTCCCTCCCCTGTACTAACACCCATAGCCTCGCCATACACATTCCCCCAAGCGGGATACCTTAGCATCGGACTCCTCGGATGCCAGTCTTTCCTCCATCGTCGCTCTTCACTCTTCAGTGTATTGATCCGCGCTAACAACTGATGTACTTCTACTAATATGGGAATGTGTGCTGCGCGACCGATGGTGTATTGCTTTGAGGGCGGTGTGACGGCTTCGGCGGCTCGCCATCGTGCTTCGATATCGAGGGTCATTCGGTGTAGGTTCAAGGCGCGGGCTGAGACGGAGTAGAGGAGGTAGTCGTGTTTGGCCCATGCGGCTTCGTCGTAGGGGATGTTTGGTGGGGGTGGGCTGAGGTAGTGCTTTACGGTCGAACGAGGGGCGGAGGCGGAGGAACGCGGTGTCTCGGTGAGGGATCGGGGAGGTTGCGAGGACGAATGTGATGTATGTGTTGCGGAGTATGGTGCTCTGTCCGAAAAGCGTGGCGTTGGAACGGGGCCCGATGGTGGCAGTTCCGAGTAGCGAGAGCCGTGGAACGAAGGTTTTCGCGCTGAGGTTGAGAAGTGAGAGGGTTGGTACGAGGACTGCGGACTGTTCTTCGGCGACTCAGCTGAGCGATGAGCGGCGATCTTGGATGAGAACTTGCGCAACATGCTCTTGAGGTTGATGTCAGTGATTGGTGGACGATGGAAGTCCTACCTTGTCGAGGGGATTGTGGATATACTGACAATGATGAGCCTGGCAGTAAGGCGCCATTCACCATATCTGCCATTGACTATGTAGGCTCATCATGCTATTCCAGGTTTTTGCATATCTGCAGTGAATTAAGTGACTTGAAGACGGGAATGTGAAGCAAAGCCTCAACCTATGCGCGGCCAAGTAGAACATTACATGTATTCTCACCGCCAAACCTGGCGGCATGCCAAAAGCCATTTCACTTCAACTAGGAACACCCTCGTACTCCCAACCGTCGACTAATCTTCTCTTTCTTCCTCTCTTGTTCTCTCTCCGGTTCGCTGCACATTTGATGAAAAAGGTAAGCACAGCCAACAAGAAGATAATTACAGCCGCAACTGTCGGCACAACGACAATACGCGTACGGTTGGTGTCAGTAGTAGGAAGATATGGACACGTCGCATTGAGTCCAATGACCCAGCAATCCGGCACACTCAGACTGTTCATGTTGATGTACAGCGCATCTTCATTAGGAGCGGCAGCTTGCCAGGCAGAATAGAGATGTGAGTTTTCCAGCGCGGTGTGAGGTACGCTGAACTGATATGGATCCTGACAATAGCCCTCAGCGTTCGCGTAGTAGGT